ATCTGCCACCTGGACTGCCACCCGAGAGACCCGAAGACCACAAAATACAGTTGGAACCTGGCACGCAGCCGACTGTTCGGACACAGTGGCGGTTGACCCAGCCGGAACTCAATTAGCTGCGAATCCAAACTGTATTATGCTTGTAGGCTGTAGTGGGGTAGCCAATATGGGGTACAACCCCAACTAGGGTTTCATATTTGTACCCAAACTTCTGCTAGTTCATTCATTCTTGCCTAGTTACTTTGATAAGTGTAACTCGTATGTTACACTTTGTAGTCAGGGAAACAAAACTCTTATGCTGTTTTTGAAAGGGTAAAAAAAAAAGACCACTAATTTAAAGAAAGGGTAACTGTACGATTAGCCTGCCTTCATCAGGGTAATTGAACATAAGCGGCCCACTGAAAGGGCAAAAAGGGTATTTTGCCCTAATATTTCGGGCCCAGCATGCAGCATGTGTATGTTGCAAAGCACACAATGTTTGTCAAGCTCAACTCATGCCCCAATCCACTATTCAACGAGTGCTGATCGTTTTTTCCCCTTCTCTGCCTTTTTCTCCCTGCTTCACATGTTTCCTTCTCTTGTTTGCTTCTCTTCGTTGTTTCCTGCTTTCCTCCTCTCTTTCTTATGGTATCGTGCATTTCTCTGCTTGGCTGTGCTCCCATGCATGTGCCTTGCTGTGCTTCTACTGCATTTTGCATATTTCAAGGCTGATAGATACCGAGGTCGTCGTGAAAAAATCATTTTTCACGTGGTAAAGTGTGGTCTGCGTACTACTCCCTACTGTCATTGAGTACCCCCCGCCACTGTTGTGCCGCGATGACATGAGAGGACATGGTCCAGTTCCTAGGGGCACGCCCTCCACAACAGCAGCAGCAGCCACCACCACAGCAGCAGCAACAACAACCAGCAGTAACATCAAAACCACCAACCGCACATGTATTGAAATCAGATATCACTTTCCATCATGTGGTGTTTCCATCAACACGCTTTATAATAAGAGCAGGTGCGCTTCTATCGGGGGGGACACGGTTGTTAGAAGATCAAGCGAGAATGATGCATTGAACAGAGACCTAGGTACAAGTACTAACCCTGATTTAGGTTGTACCCTTTATGGGCCACCCCACTACAGTCTACACAGCACAAGCATCATTAGAGTTTGACACAACCCCATAGGCAAAGTGGGGGAGAACCAGTGGTCACAAGACCAGTCAAGAAAAGCAAAGCAAGCTCAGGGTGGATCACGAAGTCACCACACATTCTGAGCACAAGCAAATGGCCACAAGGCCAGTTCACATGTAGAGTTATATAAAAAAGAGAAAACAGTACAGTGATCACTACCTAGCAAGAGTAAGCATGCAAGTATATATATAGATCACAGTACAAGCAAAGTCACGCAGTGAGCAAGTGAGACGAAGCAGGCACAAGGCCTAAAGCAGTACAGAAACGCTGATGATCACCAGGCGGAAGTGCCTTGGTGAATATATCAGCAGTGTTGGCCCGAGTGGCCACGTAAGCAAGACGAAGCTGACCACGCTGCTGCAACTCTCGAGCAAGAAGTAACACAGACAGATGTGCTTCGTTTTGTGCTCCAGTCTGTGCTCCTGATACAAGGCAATAGTGGCCTTGTTGTCTACGTACAGAACTGGAAGAGAACGAGGCTGCTCTCCCAAGTCGGTCAGCAGGTAAGTGAGCCAGCGTAACTCCTGTGCAGCTATGGCTCCTGCGTAGATCTCAGCTTCACAACTGGAGCTGAGAACAGAAGATGAGCGGGTAGACCGCCAAGAAACAGAGCCGGATCCAAGACTCAATGTGTAACCCTGTGACGACCGCTGAGTAGCCAGGTCGTCAACCCAAGACGCGTCCGAGTGTCCAGTGAGGACAACTAGAATCCGTCCTCCAAGCACGAGCCCCATGCCCGATGTACTGCACAAGTAGCGCAACACCCACTTAGCAGGCGCCCAGTGCTCTCGTCGGTGTCTCCCGGGCGCAACGTAGCATGCCAAGATGCTTAGAGGGTAGGCAAGGTCAGGTCGAGTGCAGGTCATCAGGTACATGATGCAGCCCACAAGCTCTGGATACGGGCCATTCGGCTCTACGGACCTGTCCGATGGTGGAGCTGAGAGCGAGTGACCGGTAGCCAGAGGAGTGGACTGTGGCGAGGACCAGGTGAAGCCGAAGCGCTGAAGGACCTGCTGCACCATGTGTGACTAAGTCAGGGTGATGGTGCGTCGTGCTCTGTCCCGGGTGATCTGCAAGCCAAGATAGCTGCGCAGCTCACCCAGGTCTGTGCACGTGTGTCTCTTCTGCAGCTCTGACTTCACAAGGGCCAGTGCCTTAGTGTCAGCAGTGGCAAAGACCAATTCGTCGACGTACATGAGGATGTAGAACGGCGGCAGCGAAGTGTCGGTGCGCAGAAACAGCGACGGGTCTGCAGTCGAAGGAGCAAACCCAAGAGCCGCAAGTGTCATCCTCAGTGTGTCGTGCCACTCAAAAGGCGTCTGGCGGAGCCCGTAGACTGGCCGCCGGAGGCTCCACTTGGTACCAGGAGGAAACGACCCAGTGAAGCCAGGTGGGCGGCGCAGCCAGATCTCCTCGTGCAGGCTGCCTTGTAAGAAAGCTGTGCTGAAGTCAAGAGAGTGAAGCTCGTTATCACCCTGAGCAGCAACGTGCATCAACACCCAAAGAGTGGTCATCTTCGGGGTAGGGGAGTGGGTCTACTTGAGTCATACCTGAAGGAGCAGGATCCTGAGGGGGGAGGGGGTCTACCAGAGGGGGACCTGGAGCGAGGAAGAGCGGCGGGGGGGGGGAGCGGGGCAGTGCGGTATAGGAAGAGACGGTAGAAGGAAATCGACTCGTCAAACGTGACCTCCTGAGAGCACAGGACACGGCGCGAGGTGGGGGTGGTAAAACTGCCAGCCATAAGCGTAAGGGGGGAAGCCAAGGAAGACACAAGGAGTGGCGCGGGAGGAGAGCTTGTCCGCGGAGGTATCGCGGACAAAGGCACGAGCGCCCCAGACCCGGAACACCGACGCATCGCCAACCTCCCCCATCCAACGCAGTGTGGGCGAGGTCTCCGGCAAGGAGACACGGGGCCAGAGGTTGAGCTGATGCGCAGCGTACCGGACCGCAAACGGCCACAGAAAGTGGGGAGCAGCTGCATGGATCATGGAGGTACGAGCCACCTCCATGACTAGGCCAATGCGGCGCTCAGCAACCTCGTTCTGGTGCCGGGAGGCCGTAAGCGTGAACGACTGGAGGATGCCCTCCCCACGACAAATGTCTCGCAAGAGGTCGGAGGAGAACTCACCACCTCTGTCAGAGTGCAGATGCAGGACAGGAAGGTCCGTGTGGAACCGCTCGCGGAGCTGGAGATGGACAGCGCGGATCCAGAATATCAAAACACCAGGGACCTCCCCCTTGCTGCGCAAGGGGAAGACCGTGGTGTAACGCGTGTAGTCGTCAACAACCAGCAGAAAGTATCGCTCGCGGCCCTGTCCCTGGACGCGGGCTGGGCCCCACACGTCCATGTGGGGAATCTGCTGGGGAGCAGTCATAGGGGGAAACGAGGAGGAGTGAGGAGCGGCGCGCAGCCGCCCCTCGACGCAAGGAAGGCAGGGTGGCGCAGGCGAGGGCAAGAGGGGGGGCAGAGACCTGGGAAGACCAGAGACAAGGAGGCGGGAGTGCATGCCACGAAGGCGTGGCAGGGAGGGGTGACCAAGGCGGTGGTGCCAAAGGAGAGTCTGGTGCGAGAGGTGGCGACACGAGCAGGGGGCTGCTACCTGACCTGACGCAGCTACCTGGGGAGGCTCAGTAGTCAGTGTGTACAGGCTTGGCCCAGGACGACGGGTGAAAGAGGCCAGGTGGGGGCTCGTCCGTGTACACGTGCAGATCGCCACACGCTGACCCCCAGTAGTGGTGGTAGTGACCATCGCATCCTGGAAGGCAACGGTACTCACCAAGTTCGTAGAGAACGAGGAGAGGTGAACACCTGACAGTGAGCCAGACAGAACCGCCGGACACGGTAGAACAGTAGGGGAATGTGCAAGAACTGGGCCCCCTGAGGGGTCAGCCAGTCTGACTGCAGCCAGTGCAGGGAGTGGTGTGAGTGTTGTACTGTCTCGTAAGAAATAGCGGGAAGCACCTGAGTCAAGCGTGAAGGTGTGCAAGGCCTCAGCAGGCGCAGTACCAGAGAGAGCAGACTCACTAGCACCTAGAGCAGCAGCCTCTATACCTGGGTCGGGCGGCACACACAGGTAACAGTCACCCTCAGCACTAACAGTCAAAGCATACATGGCAGCAAGGATAGCGTCATAGTCAAGAGCAAAGATATCAACACCAGACCTAAGCAGCTCTAGCCAGCGGGGGAGCTCAGCTACGTCAGGAAACTTTGTGCGCTAGGCATCGTCAAGACAGGAGAAGCAGGGGTGCTGGGTGTGAAACTTTCCGCATGTCTGACCAGCGCGGTCACCTGTGCGAATGACATACGTCCAGCGAACACTACCCCCAGACGCCCCATGTTGAGCAAACCACTCACGAAGCTGCTGGGGCATAAGGGTCTCGCTCGGACACTTCTGCTGCTGCCTCTGGCCACCGCCAGAACCTCCCCTCTGAACTAGCGCTCCACCCCGACCGCCACCACTGCCGCCGCCACCACTCCCACTGCTGCCACCACTGCCGCCGCCACAACTCCCACCGCCGCCACCACCGCCACCACCACTCCCACTGCCACCACCACCGCTGCCACCACTCCCACCACTGCCACCACCGCCGCCACCGACGCCCCCACTCTCGCCACCACTCCCACTGCCACCTCCACCGCCTCCACCACCCCCACCACCGCCTCCCCCGCCGCCACCTCTACCACTCTTGCCTCCCTTGCCTTTGCCGCTGCGGCGCCTCCCACTAGGAGCAGACGTAACCCGACCTCCTCAGCACCAAGGAAGTCAACAGCAGTAGCAGCAGAGAGCATAGGAGGGGGCAAGGGGGGGAGGGGAACACCTCTAAAAAAAGGGAGTGCTATGAGTGCCACGAGCAGCACCAATAACGACTATGCTAGTCTCAGCTGCAAGGAGGTGCTTCTCGAGCTCGTCGACAGTGAGGCCTGTGGGGTCAAGGGCAAGAAAGTGGTCCCTGACTGCGCGAAGAGAGTCAGGGAGGCGGGTGACGATGAAGTAGAGAGTGATGTACATCGGGGGCGGGTTCTTGTCTAGGAACTCGTCTTTAATCGTGGCGCAGTAGCGAGTGTCGCTAGTGCGAAGGTGGGTGATGAGGTCGTCGACTGTGGCAAAGGCGGACAGCTCGGGAAACAGGTAGGGCAGTATAAGGCGGTTGAGAGCAGCAGTGGCAGAGGAGGAGTAGCGAGCGACTACAGCGTCGTTCAGGGCTTTAGCAGTCTTGTGCTGGCCAAAGTGAGCGTGTTTGGCTAACGGCAGTGGTTGCGAACGGCTAGGCGAGAAGCAGCGTCACGGGTAAGTCACTATGAGCGAGTCGCACTGTCAGCTGTGTAGAGAGGAGAAAGAGAGGCTCCAGACGTGTGATCAAACAACGAGACGCCGTCTTTGGAATCGCTAAGTAGGTACAGCTGTAAGTCGTCGAACCATGTATCAAACTAGATTGGACGGCCCTCAGGATCGAAGGTGAGAACGCTGAGGGTAGCCATAGCTAGCAGAGCAGAGCGGCGTGTGACGAGCAGGGCAGCACGCAGGGAAGGCAGAGCGGCGCGCAGGCACTAGGAAAGCGCAGGGCAGGTCAGGGCAGGGCGTGCGCGGGCAGCGCGACGCAGGGCAGGGCGTGCGCGGGCAGCGCGACGCAGGGCAGGGCGTGCGCGGGGCGGCGCGACGCAGGGCAGGGCAGGGCGTGCGCGGGCAGAGTGACGCAGGGCAGGGCAGGGCAGCGCGGTAGCCAGCAGGGCGGCGCGCAGGCAGGGGAACGCGACTGGTGGGGCAGCGCGACGGGCAGGGTAGGGCGCTACGAGCAGGGAACTGTACGGTGGGCCCTAAAAAAAAGCGGTCCTTGAACAGGACCTGCTATGAAACCATGTCAGAAGACTAAACGATAATGATGCATTGAACAGAGATCTGAGTACACGTACTAACCCTAATTTGGGTTGTACCCCTTATAGGCTACCCCACTACAGCCTACACAGCAAAAGCATCATTATAGTTTGACAACGGTAGCCCTCTTAATCAGTATACATCATCTGCATTGTGATAGGTGAGCTTGCATAACACTGCATTTGATATGTACACCAACATGTACTACTCCATGAGAAGGAACATTACAAATGCACAGAATCCGACCAACTAAGCTACAGTACCGGTAGTAGCATTCATGGATCTCACCTATTCTTTGTTCTACAGTATGTACCACTCCATAAAAATCTGCATTTGTGATGTTCCCTCTCGGATCACACATCTTCCCTTGGCCTGTCCTTCAAAGCCTGGCAGCAAGCAGCTTTCCCGACAAGCTGCTGGTGGTGGCGGCAAAGCCAATGTAGAGCTGGCCATTGATGCCAGCCTGGATGGCGCTGAGCACGTCCGCCAGGTCCGCCGGCGCGACAGTGAGCACATTGGCCAGCGACCACGACACGGAGCTCAGCAGCTGCCACGTGCCGGGCAGCTGCAGCGCCACGGCTGGGGCTGCCTGCCCGCACGTGCTGTTGCCGCTGTAGATGGCCGCCGCCTGCGGTGCCTCCGCCATGCCCGTCGCCACCAGCTCGTACGCCACCGCGTATGACGACCCCCTGCTCGTGAGCAAGGGGGCAGGGGGAGGGGGGAGGGCGAGGGGTTGGGAAGGAGGGGTTGACCGGGGTGCACAGCAGGGGATGTTTCACTATACGAGTGTTCTTCGCTGGAGGGTACTATCTACTGATAGGCAGAAGCATTATGAGAGTCAGAACGGATGGCAATGGTGTGGACGGGGATCATGGGGAATTGTGATAACGTAGAAGGAATCGTGAGATGATTAAGAGAGACAATGCGTGACTAGTGCAGGGAAGGCAGTAGTTGGGAAGGAGAGTGAGGGGCCGTGGCTTACATCTTGGTGATCTGGATGTTGGCTGCTCCCACCGGGAGAAGGCCCTCGCACGAGGTGAGCACGCCACGCAGCATGCCTGCAGAGACGGGATGAGCAGCAGTAGAAAAGGATTGGATTGAGTGAGCAGGGAGGGTGCAAGAATGGTGAGCACAAGCATGCCTGCAGTGACGTGACGGGCATGGGCGGTCAAGAATTGGAATGAGAGAGGAAGGTTTTGCAAGAATGACCCGCCGGCTGCGGTTTAGGGTTTGCAAGACTGACCTGGTGGGTGCGGGTTTAGGGTTTGCGGGATGGGGGTTTGCGGGACTGACCTGCTGGGTGCGGCAGCAAAGCCACGAGGTCCGCCACGCCAAGGGCGTCACTCAGCGGGGCGATCAGCGCGTCCACCTGCGCAGCGAGCGCCGACACGTCCACATTCAGCGCACCCACCCTCTGAGTGAGCGCCGCCACTCGCTGACTGAGCAAGGCGCGGAGGTTAGGGAGGATGGCCGCCAGGTCCGTGTTGAGGGAAGTGGCGCGATTGTTGATAGCGGGGATGCTGCTTCTTAGCGACGAGATGCGCGACTGGAGTGCGACAGGTGTCGCCTGCGGAGCAACGCCGCCGGGTCGGGAGATTCTAAGGTACAAGATAAGGTCTAGGTTCGCAATGCGGGCGTTTAGAGTGTCGATGCTGCTCTGCAAGGCGGAAATCTGTGCTTGAAGCGCCAGTGTGGCCGCGGATGCGTTGTCGTTCAGCGAGGTAGCGAGCTTGTTGAGTGCTTGCGTCAGCGTTCCTTCTAGTGAAACGACTTGCGCTTGCAGCGCGGATATTAGGCCAGACACGCTACTAGTGATGGTGCTGGTGACTTGGGCTGGTCGGTTCGGGAGGCGATTCCCGAGCAGTCCGTTGGAGACGATTCTAGACTGTGCGCATGATGCGAATAGCGCCGTTACAAGCAGTGCCGCCATCAGTGAGGAAGCTACAAGAGAACGCGCCATGGGGATGAAATGCTAGAAAAGGAGTGCAGTAATGATCGCTGCTGGTACCAGGAGGTACGTAATTTTACTCGAGCGGCTAAGGCAGCGATGGGCGATTGAACGCAGTTGCGAAGAGTGGGAGCGATTGAAAGCAGTTGCTGATCTAGTAGGCGATTGGATGTGAGATGCAGATTGCGGCTTGGGCTCGCTTATATACTCGCTAACGAGGTAACGCTTGAACCAGAAGTGCTGCTGTGACGGTGAGCGCGTAATCTTGGGAGGGAGTCACCGAGGCGGTGTTGGACGGTTGGTTCGCGGCGATCGGGTGGGTGAGCGTGGGCGAGGATGAGTGAGGTGCGAGCGTGGGCGATGATGAGTGAGGTGCGGCGAACCAGCAACGATCTGGGCAGCTGTTTCCACCGAAAGCTTGATTCGCTTCACGCGGAATTGCTGTGAGCGAAGACGGCGAAGTTCAGGGAGGAAGCAGTCGCGCCGCGTGTTACTGCAGATTTGAATTTCTACAAATCTACCTGATAGTAACATATCCTCTTTTCAAACAATCAATATGATCTCATTAGTGTGCCTATTGTATACCGCATGTTTTGTCTTGTTCTTGCGTGTTTGAGCAGGCAAATTCGTAGACTAGAAGCAAGTGGAATACACGCTCATGCTGCTCATTTTTCGTGGTTGCTATAAATATTCACCGTTGGAAGTGCATTTTGGTGCACGCGATGTTTGTGTAACTGTAGGCCACGTATAATGTCATGATTTGTTTGGTTGTGTTTATTTCAAGACAAAAACCGTGCGTACACTCTGAACACAACTCTGCCACCGCGACGCCTCGCGAAACTTCATGTTAACACATTAGGCCGATGTTCCGCCAAAGAGTGTGACATATGAATTTTTATCGTTGTTAATTGCTCTCATGGCACCTGTCAGTGATTTCGTGACCACCCTGCATTATTACGGAATGCCGTTCTCGGTTTCTCTCACTATGTTGGCATTTTTAACTAGTGTTCATACCACAAGCCTAACATCTCTTGTGTTATGATAAGGATCCCTTGGATAATATTGGTCTACATAAGTGTATTGGGCATGTAATTGTTTTCGTTTTTGACGGTCTGAACCGTGTGCAAAATCGGTAACCAGAGTTCGTAAAACCCCACATGATCTGCAATTTGATAATGAGCTTGGATGGTCCAGAGCGTGAGCGGGATACCCTTTTCGCATACGGTCCGGACGGAAAAAGTTACACGCCCTTAGCGGAAGTCTTTAGTGGTAGGAACTTTGTTACATAATGAATGTAAATGACAACATTGATAAATAAAAACATTACAGACATTAACACCAACCCTAGCTAGCAATCTAGTATAAGTGGTGCATTCCCTTATTAACCGTAATGCATCGCAACAGTGCTAGCGATTCTTCAATTACCAGGTTGACGTCTGTAACCGTAGATCCAGTTACGCTTGTTGCAACTCCTTCGCTTGTTGCAACTCCTTGGTGGCCTCCACCATTTGGTTTTGGTCAGTCAACATTCGCGACAGTTGACTTGCGAATCCTGACATGCGTGCCATAAATGGGCTCTCGCGATAGTGTCAAACATTGTATGTTTATATTGTGTAGGCTATAGTGGGTCTAGCCTTAGAGGGTACACAAACTTAGGGTTTCATACTTGTACCCACCTTCCTGCTAGTTCATCCATTCCTCGTTCAGTTATTCTGACATGGTATCAGAGCAGGTCCTTCGCTAGGACCTAAGTTTTTTTTTCGGGCCCACCTCTACTAACTACTTCCTAGCGCCTTAGTGCGCCCTACTGTCGGAGTGCTGCGTTAGCGCCTCCCCCTCTGCGCCCTTGTGCGCTCTACCTTACGTGCGCCCTCGTGCGCCCTCGTGCGCCCTCGTGCGCCCTCGTGCGCCCTCGTGCGCCTTTCTCTGCTAGTGCGCCTTCGTGCGCCCTCGTGCGCCCTCGTGCGCCCTCGTACGCCCTCGTGCGCCCTCGTGCACTCTCGAGCTGCCCCTGCAGGTCCGTCAGGCCAGTGCGCAGCCTCTGCACGACCGCACGCCGCCCCTGCAGGCTCTCGCCGCCCGCCGCGTCGCCCTGCCCGTGGCGTCACCGCCTCCCCGCGGCGTCGTCGCCTGCCCGCGACGTAGCCCCTGTCCGCGGCGTCGTCGCCTGCCCGCGGTGTCAGAGGTCCACTGGAGATCCCCGATGATCCTAGGGAAGGGTTACAGGCATATTGGCCTGAGGGGTTATGGGTGCACTCACCCGCTACACAAACAAGCCCTTTTATCCCAGTGGTTAGTGGCTGGGATTCTGACATGGTATCAGAGCGAAGGTCTCGGGTTCGAATCCCGGTGTGTGCACCTCGGGCATCCCAGTGCGGGGGGGTGTCAGAGGTCCACTGGAGATCCCCGATGATCCTAGGGAAGGGTTACAGGCATGTTGGCCTGGGGGGTTATGGGCGCACTCACCCGCTACACAAACAAGCCCTTTTATCCCAGTGGTTAGTGGCTGGGATTCTGACACGCGGCGCCGTCGCCTGCCCGCGGCGTCGTCGCCTGCCCGCGACGTCGTCGCCTGCCCGCGGCGTCGTCGCCTGCCCGCGACATCGGCGCCTGCCCGTGGCGTCGTTGCCTGCTCGCGGCGTCGTCGCCTGCTCGCGGCGTCGTCGCCTGCCTGCGGCGTCGTCGCCTGCCCGCGGGGTCGTCCCCTGCCCGCGACGTCGGCGCCTGCCCGCGGCGTCGTCGCCTGCCCGCGGCGTCGCCGCCTGCCCGCGGCGTCGCCACCTGCCCGCCGCGTCGACCTGCCCGCGGCGTCGCCACCTGCCCGCCGCGTCGCCACCTGCCCGCCGCGTCGCCACCTGCCCGCCGCGTCGCCCTTCTCGCCGCGTCGCCCTGACCTAATCCGCCTCTCGCCCCTGGAGCAGCCGCCACTGCAGCAGCAGCCCCTGGAGCAGCCGCCACTGCAGCAGCAGCCCCTGGAGCCGCCCGCCACTGCAGTAGCAGCCCCTGGAGCCGCCCGCCACTGCAGCAGCAGCCCCTGGAGCCGCTCGCCACTGCAGCAGCCGCCCCTGGAGCCGCCTGCCACTGCAGCGGCCCCCTCTGGAGCAGCACGTACCTGCAGCAGCCGCCCCTGGAGCAGCCCGCACCTGCAGCAGCTGCCCCTGGCCCCTGGAGCAACCACAGCTGCAGCAGCCGCCCCTGGCCCCTGGAGCCGCCGCCACTGCAGCAGCCGCCCCTGGCACCTGGAGCAGCTGCCGTCGCGGCCCGGCCTCGCCCTGCAGCAGCTGCCGCGGAGCTCCCTGCTACGGCCCGGCCCAGCCCTGCAGTTGTAGCGGCCCCGCTGTCGCCACCGTCTTGCGCCTGCCGCGCCGACCACTGGTGAGCATTGCCCAGCACTGCTACTGCTGCTACTGCCTTTTCTACTCCCACTGCTGCCGCTACTGCTACTACTGCTGCTCCTGGCGTGGCCAGATGCAGCTCCAGGGCCGTGCGCGTGAGTCCCTCACGCCCCAGCAGCTTCGTGCGCGTGAGTGGTACACTAGTCGGGGCTGTCGGGGTGGCCGTAGTGGTGGTCGCTCTGGAGTGGGTCGGTCGGGAGCTTCTGGTAGTGGACAGGTGCAGCTGCCGTGTCCTCCTTCGCCCCAGGTGCTTCGTGCGCGTGAGTGGTACGCTAGTTGGGGCTGTCGGGGTGGCCGTAGTGGTAGTCGCTCTGGAGTGCATCGTTCGGGAGCTTCTGTCAGTGAGGCTGCCGCTCTAGGTGCTAGTACGTCTGTTGCCCTAGGTGCTGGTGAGGCTCCCACTCCCGGTACTCGCGTGTCTGCCACCTCAGGTGATGGTGAGGCTGTCGCTTTAGGTGCTAGTGAGTCTGTCTCCCCTGGTACTGAGTCGACTGAGGCACTGCACACCTTCACCCTGGACTCAGGTGCTTCTCGCTGTTTCTTTCGTGACCGCATTGCCCTTGAGCCGCTTGCTCGGCCAGTTGCTGTCTCCCTCGCTGACCCCTCTGGGGGTCCGGTCATTGCGACCTCCTCCACTGTTCTTCCCTGTCCTGCGGTCCCGTCAGGCACACTGTCAGGTCTCTACCTCCCCTCGTTCTCTACGAACTTGGTGGCAGGTTGTGCGCTCCAGGACGGGGGTGTTCACCAGTTCACCCCTGCCTACGAGCGCATGACACACTGCACGTGTGCTCGGACGGGCCGTCACCTGGCTACCTTCACTCGGCAGCCGGGGTCGGACCTGTACACACTGACCACTGAGTCCCCTCAGGTAGCTGCGTCCGCGTCCGCGTCTGCGCCAGGCCAGCTGTCGGCCCCCTGCTCGTGCCGCTCTTTGGCGCATGAGACTGTCCTCTGGCACCACCGCCTTGGTCACCCGTCTGTGCAGCGCCTTCGGGCCATGCACAAACGGGACCTTGTTGCTGGTCTTCCCAGGGTTCTCCCTCCCCTCCCACCCTCGCCTGCTCCTCCCTGTCTTCCCTGTGTCGAGGGGCGGCAGCGCGCCGCTCCTCACTCCTCCTCCTTTCCCCCGACGACTGCTCCTTTGCAGACGCTCCACATGGACGTGTGGGGCCCAGCCCGCGTCCGTGGTCAGGGTCAGGAGAGGTACTTCCTGATTGTTGTTGACGACTTCTCGCGCTACACCACGGTCTTCCCCTTGCGCACCAAGGGTGACGTCCCTGATGTCTTGATCCCTTGGATCCGCAGATCTCGTCTCCAGCTCAGTGAGCGTTTCCGCTCCGACTTCCCTGTCCTGCGTCTGCACTCTGACAGAGGTGGGGAGTTTTCCTCTGGCCTCTTGGAGACCTTCTGTCAGCAGGAGGGCATTGAGCAGTCGTTCACGCTTCCGGCCTCTCCACAGCAGAACGGGGTTGCTGAGCGCCGCATTGGCTTGGTCATGGAGGTCGCTCGTACCTCCTTAGTTCATGCGGCTGCCCCCCACTTTCTGTGGCCGTTTGCAGTCCGATACGCTGCGCATCAGCTCAACCT